TATACAGATTGTACTATTAATACTGTAGTAGGGAACCCTGAACACCACTCGAGTATACACGTAATAAGCCACGCAGATTTCATAACGACTTGCTAGTTCCTAATAACATAGTGTCTGTTACAGGGTCCCGAGTCGCAAACACTCACCACAGGTGTCCACCCAGGGTCCCGAGTCGCAAACACTCACCACAGGACATCCTTAGGGGTGACACCGTGGGCGGCGGCAACGGCTCGGAAAGCTTGGGTCAGGCTGGTGCGATCAAAGGGTGACAGGTGACGGACAGTCCATGTATAGTGCGTGTCAGACAGTCCAGTTAGTTTTCATTCGTTAGTTTAGTTAGGGCTAGGTTCCCCATTGGCCAGGGGAATACCAGTCAGTTCAGAATTTGCTTCCTCGAGATCAATACACGGCGCCAAGTGTTCCTGGAGTTGCCGCTCCCCCAACATTGTGTTTTGATTTCGTGGATACGCCACAAAGTATACTTTAGTGCTACCGTCCTTTGCGGTAGAGACGTGTCTGGAAGACGCAAGTGAAGAACAAGAAGATCCATAGAGCGACATCGTGGAAGCGAACGTTACGGCGGAGGCCGTTATGGAGGCGACAGCGGCAGAAGCCGTGAGCGAGGCAGAAGCCGTGAACGCGACAGAAGTCGTGACCGTGGCCGCAGCCAAGGTCGAGGAACGACCGCGAACAATCGTTACATGGACCTACCAGTGTGTCCTAACCTCCACTCGATTGCCCAAACCGAGGTTTACCGTTGGCTGATCGAACGCAAGGCGTACGAAGCGCGACTTGAAGATGAGTGCCGTAGGAAGAACATCCAGTTCCGTGAACATGTGACAAGCTACGTGGCGTGCTTCTCGGACAAGCAATTGCTGCGTACCATGATGTCGATCTGGAAGATCCGCGGGGAGCCCGAAGACATGTCCGAGCAAATCCTCAAGGACAAGCTTCAAGACATAGCCAAGAAGCCAATGAATGACGTCGACCCTGACTTGGAAAGTCTATTCGATGATATCGAGTTCAACATGCGTGAAGAAGATGCGACCATGCGTGCAACGGACTACATGATGGTGTGTTGGGAGCGAATCGACGTGCATGGAGTGTACGTACACGTCATTGTCGAACCAGCTGCCTGGCAAGGTGAGCGAGTACACCAAGGACGCCTTCAAGAAGAAGTGGCACCCAGTCGACTTTGAGTGGGGTGACCTGATCCAAATCGTGGTGGATATATCCGTGGAACAACAATCGCATTGGGGTGCTGGCGCTGGAAAGCGGAGTGGGACCAAGAGCCCGAAGCACAAGAAGAGCAAGCACGGCCATGATTATCAAAATCGTGGCGAAGACAAGATGTCTAGTCGAGATGACGGAAGGCAGCAAAGCCGTGCACGCGACCAGGCGACCGAAGCCGAGGGCGCGAACTAAGTCGTGGTGGACGCGATCGCAGCCACGGGCGTGAGTACAGTCGTGGACGTGAAGAGAGTCATGGGTACGACCGAAGCCGTGGACGAAGCCAGGAAGGTTACCACAGCGGGCGTGAACGACATGGAAGTCGTGTACGCACAAGCGAGCGCAATCAAAGCGCGTACCGTGGAAGCGATTACTCCCGTCACAGAGGCAGTTCCCAAGACGCCAAGTATGGTTGGCCCAGAAACGACCAAGGAACCCCTCCGGCGCAAGCAATCGATCGTAACGCGGGATATCAAGATTCGGGCACGAAACAAAACACGAGTACAAACCGCGTGAGTGTGCCGCGACAGACTCGTTTTGGCGGCTGGGGGAATCCCAAAGGACAAGGAAACCCGGGAAAGTAACCCTCTAAAGATCGTCAATCGAACAACTCTGCCTATTCTGCTGCGTTACAAAAACGAACAGCAAAACCAGATCGTCAGGAAGACGAAGCGGATGTACGGGAAGTAATCCTAGACGAAGCTGGGGCACTTGCACTCGTGGGACAGCCTGAAGGAGAGCTTCCTCCCAACTTCCATGTGCAGCAGGTGCAGAACCCGCGTCCACCATCAGTTGTCCTTGGAGAAGACATGTGAATCATATGGATGAGCGTGTCAGTGGACTACGGCGGCGAATGGAGATCATGCCTGACCATTCGCATTACCAGCAACGTATGGTGCGATGGAATCCGAACCGAGCTTGGATTCAACCAGTACTACCACTGGATGACCGAGCTACCCATC